CTAGCCCAGTTAAGTGCACCCACCTCTCTTGATAGTCCAGGCTATCTAGGAAAATGCATTCAATCCATCTACTCTGTCTTACCTGATTCTAGTAATTCCATCGAAGAATATATTAATAGATTAATCAGACTGTCAGACTAGATTTTGCTTCTCTGAATCCATACTGATTATCTATTTCTACATTTACTTTCTACAAGTGTTTCACTGAATTTTCTAGTCCTGTTGAATCTTTTTTTTTAACTTATTTATGTGGTGAACAGCATTTAAATAACTCATTGTTTAAGTTCCAGAAAGTAGTCTTTATTTATGTCAACCTTGCATATGCTGCTGATGTTATCCAGGGCGTGTTTGTCACAGGAAATCGGTTTGAGTGGTATATATCTATCCTCTGTTATCTTTTAGTCGATTCGTGGGGTTGTTTTCCTTCCAGATAGTACATTGTGTCCTGTCTCCAATCCACGGCATCCATCGTCACTACCTTGATTTGCTGCAATTGAATTCTTGCAGCCACTCTATTTTCCCCCACGTCACACTCCAGTTTCTTGCAGCTGACTTCCGTATTTATAATCCTCATTAGTCTCGTGTTTCCCAATGACACTGACAAGAGGAAATTTTACATCTCTGGCAAATTATTCACGCTCGGGAAATGGAGAACACTGCTAGTTACTTTCTACTGTTCAGATGATTTTTATGTGAGTGTGTGTGTACTCACCCACCCACCTATTTGTACTCACTTAGTTTTACTTACCTAGTTGTGTTTGCGGGGGTTGAGCTTTGGCTCTTTGATCCCGCCTCTCAACCGTCAATCAATTGGTGAACAGATTCTTGAGCCTACTGGGCTCTATCATATCTACATTTGAAATTGTTTATGGAGTCAGCCTCCACCACATCACTACTTAATGCACTCCATTTGTTAACTACTCTGACACTGAAAAAATTCTATCTAATGTCTCTGTGGCTCATCTGGGTTCTATGTTTTCACCTGTGTCCCCTTGTTCTTGTTCCACCCGTGCTAAAGAGTTTGTCTTTGTCCACCCTGTCAATTCCCCCTGAGAATTTTGTAGGTGGTTATCATGTCTCCCCTTACTCTTCTGCGTGTGTGTGTGTGTGTGTGTGTGTGTGTGTGTGTGTGTGTGTGTGTGTGTGTGTGTGTGTGTGTGTGTGTGTGTGTGTGTGTGTGTGTTCTAGTGTTTGCAAGCACTTCACTCTTAGTGCTTGCAGGATCGAACTTCATCTCGTAGTTCTCCCCTATTCAATTTTTATTCTTTCGATGCATAACCCTACTCTCGTATATAAATATTTGCTTGTAGCCTTGTAAAATACACATTTACAAAATTATGTGTGACGACATCTTCTGCGGGTCTCCAGCTCTCCCTTTACCACATCTTACCTACATGTTTACATCCCAAAACGTTTATATAGATTACTCCTTACACATCCCGGGTGTTGATCTGAATCTCCGGTGAGGGTTCCATGCCGGGACCGCATACTCTGGCACTGATCATGCATCGGCAGAGCACAGTGCTCTCAGAGCCTTGTATCCAGGTTCATGAAGGCAGTTCTGATACTCAAGCATATGCCGCTGATGTGGTTTTGTTTGTGTGAGCACTATACGAAATGTCTAAACTAGGTGACGTAAATTAAATTTCTTGTGAAACCCTAATATTAACCGGGAAATTAAAAGATACCTTTTATATACATATAATCTTTTCCGCCCTGTCATCAGTTTTAATTTAGGTTTATCAAGGGTGAGAGAAAGTGAGAGAAAGCGAGAGAGAGAGAGAGAGACTCCCAGCTTGATTACTGAACCATCTTTCCCGACAGCTCCTGACGGCAGACTAATGAATTCTTCCCAGAGCTCAGTCGACGTCTGGGGAGTAGTGGTTGTGGGGGTGTATGGTGGGGGTGTATGGTGAGGGTGTATGGTGGGGGTGTATGGTGGGGGTGTATGGTGGGAGGGTGTATAGTGGGGGTGTATGGTGGGGGTGTATAGTGGGGGTGTATGGTGGGGGTGTATGGTGGGAGTGTGTATGGTGGGGGTGTATGGTGTATATATAAGATTTATTTCCATTAGCATATTCTAGTAGCCTAACCATCTTATCTTAAGCACCGAGCTTCACAAGGTGCGGATTCCATACCGGTGCTGCATATTCCAGCATTGGTCTAACAAATGTTGCGTAGATTTCCTCGAAGGAGTCCTGATTTAGTCACCTAAACGATTATTAGTTCTTATATATGTCAGCGTCGCACATACCGCTGATGTTATCGTGTCCACGTGTGGCTCTTGTGTTAGTGCTGGAACTATATCTCCTCTCACAAGGGTTTCCCCTCTCTAGTGGTGGTGATGATAGTGACACCTGATGTTTCGGATGATAGAGAAGTGAACCAGGACACGTTAATTTGTGTTTAGCCTGAATTTATAGTTATTTATAGAGCGTCAAAATAGCATGTTTTTTCCCCCGAACGCTAATGCTTTATTTTTTATTAACTGTTACTCGGTCCATTGACACTGGAGAGGGAGCGAGAGAGATGGTGAAGAGGGGGATGGTGAAGGGGGGAGAGGGGGAGGGTGAGAGAGGAAGGGTGAAGGGGATAAGCTAAGGGGCATAACATATAAGGAAAAGGTACTGAGATTGATGGTGAGGATAAGGGGTAGTCGTCAGGAACAACGCTTTATATAGTCACTGTCGTAAGGTAACGACGCATTATATAGTCACTGTCGTAAGGTAACGACGCATTATATAGTCACTGTCGTGAGGTAACGACGCATTATATAGTCACTGTCGTGAGGTAACGACGCATTATATAGTCACTGTCGTGAGGTAACGACGCATTATATAGTCACTGTCGTGAGGTAACGACGCATTATATAGTCACTGTCGTGAGGTAACGACGCATTATATAGTCACTAACGTTAAGAACAACGCCTTATAGTTATTGTTGTATTGGACAACGCGTAACAGTTATAATGGTCTGGCTAACGCATGGCTCGTTAATGTTGCTAGGAAACAACGCATGTCAGCCATTGTTGCCAGACAAGAGACAGAGACTCTTGATTCTTGACCTCTCGACAAGAATGACTCTTGAGAGACCCCCCATTGTTGCCAGGGTAAAAGCCACAGCTCTCTAGTTGGGGGTCATCTTTTCAACGTGTTACGGAGTACGAAATGCCACCTTGTTCTCTCAGTGTTGCCAGGTAATGCAACTATGATCCTTGGGGGTGACATACGCTTTACGATTCTCCTCTTATGTGTTGGCTGTTCGTGGCAGCTTGATGATCTGGTAACACTTCTCGTTTTGTTTTCCTTTATAATCTTCTGTGTATGTGTGTGTGTATGTGTGTGTGTGTGTGTGTGTGTGTGTGTGTGTGTGTGTGTGTGTGTGTGTGTGTGTGTGTGTGTGTGTGTGTGTGTGTGTGTGTGTGTGTTCATCTAGTTTTACTCACCTAGTTGTGCTTGCGGGGATTGGGCTCTGGCTCTTTGGTTCCGCCTCTCAACTGTCAATCAACTGGTGTGTACAGATTCCTGAGCCTACTGGGCTCTATCATATCTACATTTGAAAAACAAACATACACACATATATTTGTGTGTGTGTGTGTGTGTGTATGTGTGTGTGTGTGTGTGTGTGTGTGTGTGTGTGTGTGTGTGTGTGTGTGTGTGTGTGTGTGTGTGTGTGTGTGTGGGTGTTCTGTGACAAATTATTTTTGTTTAAACTGTGTATCGTTTCTGTTGTGAAATTTCTTTTCCTATTTTATGTTGCTTAATTTCTGTTAAAGTTTCTGTTAAAGTAACGAACATAATTGCCTAACTAAAACTGTTACGGAACACGTACGTAACACGTAGCGGACGGGTACAAGTAACACGTGGTGTGAAGTGCTCCTCAAGCAAGGTCACACCTTCGGTAATTATTTTTGCTATCGAAAAGCCGTCCTCAGTGTTTCAAAGCTTCACTCGGACTGTAGGTCAGACTCGAGTCCGTCTGGCAGCCTAGATACCTATAACAAGCTGTTCCCCTCTAACAAGCGTCCTGGGGTGTTGAAAATCCCGTTGCATCATTGCAAACGAGTGTCGGGGTCTTGACATGAGCAACCAAGTCCTCCTCCATCTCCTCCTCGTCAGCATCGGCACTATAAGAACTCCTCAGCGTTCCTCGTCGACTCTCTCAAGAACAGAATAAATTTAAATACAGATGAAAGTTTTAAGAATGTCGGGTGAGACGTTTTGTTATGGTTGTAGGTATGCTTTCCCCTCCCCTTGTGGTTTATGGGATTGTTTTCTTGGTGAGGGTATTTGGTATGTCGTTAGGTGTTTGTCAAGGCTGGCGGGGAGGAGTTGTAAGCTTGCTCCAGCGTTGACTGGCGTCTGCCTTCTGTACTGTTGGTGACTGTGTGTGTGTGTGTGTGTGTGTGTGTGTGTGTGTGTGTGTGTGTGTGTGTGTGTGTGTGTGTGTGTGTGTGTGTGTGTGTACACTTATAGTTTCCACTGCGATCCTCAGTATTCATTCCGATGTAGGTCTTTTTTTTCCTCGTTATTAGATTCATATTCCTTTACTATGATGCTACGGATTGCTTTCACGGTCCCAATGTATTCATTAAGTAACTTGTGCATTAAATAACTTAGTAAGTTAAGTAACTATACTGAGTATGGCAATGTGTGGTTGTTTATCTTCGTCATCTTGCAACATACCCGGAGCATACCTGGATATGCTCCAGTGGTGGGGGGGGGACAGGTAAATGCATAGTTACATTTGTTGAACAAAATCCTTGCACGTTGAAGGACTCAACTGAGGAACTCAATGGGGACTCAATGAGGGACTCAATATCATTGGGGGACTCAATGAGGGACTCAATATCATTGGGGGACTCAATGAGGGACTCAATATCATTGGGGGACTCAATGAGGGACTCAATATCATTGGGGGACTCAATGAGGGACTCAATATCATTGGGGGACTCATTGAGGGACTCAATATCATTGGGGGACTCAATGAGGGACTCAATATCATTGGGGACTCAATGAGGGACTCAATATCATTGGGGGACTCAATGAGGGACTCAATGAGGGACTCAATATCATTGGGGGACTCAATGAGGGACTCAATATCATTGGGGGACTCAATGAGGGACTCAATATCATTGGGGGGGACTCAATGAGGGACTCAATATCATTGGGGGACTCAATGAGGGACTCAATGAGGGACTCAATATCATTGGGGGACTCAATGAGGGACTCAATGAGGGACTCAATATCATTGGGGGGCTCAATGAGGGACTCAATGAGGGACTCAATATCATTGGGGGACTCAATGAGGGACTCAATGAGGGACTCAATATCATTGGGGGACTCAATGAGGGACTCAATGAGGGACTCAATATCATTGGGGGACTCAATGTTCATTCTTAAGGAGATATTTTGATGACGACGGCGATTGTTGCAGCTTCCTTAAGATTGCAACAGTTTATGCTTTTATTTTGGCCAGGAAGGTGAAGTATATTGAGTTTCATATTCTTGAAATGTCTTTTGTTTTATTTGTATATCTTTCAGCTGTACGTAACGGATGAGGTTTGAGCATAACGTTGACCAGACCACACACTAGGAAGTGAAGGGACGACGACTTTTCGGTCCATCCTGGACCATTCTCAAGTCGATTGTGACTTGATCCCTGTGACTCCTCGTATGCTTGAGCATAGTATTATATATTAAAGTATAATCAAAGGAAGTGGAATATTTTTTTCGGGTCTATTATCTACCCGCTTACAGGAGATTATTTAACCTCGGGAGGACCTCATCTGCGTTTCAACGCCATGAACGTAATCATGTGATCAACGCCAGAACTCTCAAGAGTCAAGACAGAACTCTTCGAGAGTATTGCAAGAGATGCAACGGAAAAAAATTTGTGCATTCTCGGAGTCAAGGATTCTGCATGCAACACAGTCTGGCTCTATAGTGAGCCGGGCACGCTCAAGAGACTGTCCCGGATGCTGTACTGGGCACTGATCTTGGTAGACAACATGCCTACCAAGGTCAGTGTCTAGACCTTTGTAAAGGTCCAGTGATTGACTACATCTGCCCTCGTGACTCACACACGAGAGATGTGTCTTGGTGGAGGACAAAAAAGTAAATATTCTTATAAAATAAATATTCAAAAAATAAGAAAAAAAAAGTAAAAAAAGTAAAAAAAAGTAAAAAAAAAGGTAAATATTCTTTAAAATATATATTCAAAATAAGACAAAAATAAATATTCTTATTTTATTCATGCTAGTCTAGCTTAAGGTTGTGTTAACATTTTGTTTTTTTCGGGGGGGGGGGGGTAAATAAAGCAAAGGCAAACCTTAAATAAAGCAAAGGTAAAAATAACAAAGGCCAACAGTCTTTCTCATTTACTGTAAGTGCATAATTGTTGCGCACAATTAAACAGAGGACTGTCTAGACGAGACGATGGCATGTCGTAGCTACGCGTGGGTGTGCGTCGCGGCAGCACTAACCACTCGATCGTTAAGCTATGGTGCTCCCTGTGTGCTGGTTATTGTATAATTATCATTAATCTATTTCCAATGTGAGAAATCGACTTGAGAATGGTCCAGGACGGACCGAAACGTCGTCGTCCCTTCAACTTCTAGTGTTTGGTCTGGTCAACAATGTGAGAATCTAGTGTGAACGAATTCCCGACAATGGAAGTTTTAGCGTGCGGTCAAGGACAAAGGTATCTGTCGTGGGGGTTGATCTTGCTGTGAAGTGCAACCCGCACTCTCAATTAGTACGTCTCATTGTGTATGTTTTGGTCTTCTACGTATAAGTTACGAAAGTACTGGGGAAGGTAGCGGCTCACATATATATATCCACGTTCTCTATATGCGCCGGTAAGTTAGGTTAGGTAAGGGGTAGTTAGGTAGGTGGTTTGGAGCTCGTACGTTTCTAGTTAGGTTAGCACGCTGTATTTTTGAGGTTGTGGCAATTAAAGGACAACGGGCTGGACAATGATAGCAATTAAAAGGTGGAACTATAGCAGCCGCAGATATCAAGAAGATCACGTAAACTCGATCAATCAGCTGTGATGATGATGATGATGATGAAATGTTGATATCTCGTGCAACTCCTGATGAGTCCCGTCCTACTCCCTACAAGATCCTGCAAAATCCAGTCAGTAATCTGATTAAATAATTCTACGTGGATTCACGCTCACTCACTCTGACCTTTCTCACTATTCCCAAGTTTTGTGGAGTTGTAAGTTCATAAAAAAAATTTCAGGTAAAAGAATATTTGTAAAGGTTAATGATATGAAGACGAAAATTTCGTGAGCGCCTCAGATGATGCCTCGGGGATGCTTGCATCTTGATTACATAAACCATTACAATAATCCTTAAAATTAGATTAAATTTTGAACATTAAAAATTAAAGTAGATTTTCTTATTTAAAGCTTTAGGCCCACAACATTCAAAATTAACTGAATAATAATGAGTTATGAGTAACGTATATATGCAAAATTGTGACGAAGGATTAATGGTGGACTTAAAAGATGAGGAAATAGGATGCTATAGAGAGTATTAGTGGATATAGAAATATAAGCTATGGGACGCAGGTTGTTATTAGCGGTCTTTAAGGCCGCAGATAGAAGTTAACAGAGAATTGCAAGGCCATGGAATATGCCAACAAACACAGGAAAGTAAATCATAATAAAGAGGGTGAATATCCTGCACTCCCTTTTCCTCTCTCTCTCTTTTCATTCTCGCTTTTTCCATCCTTTCTCCCAACCACTTGGGCTGGACGGTAGAACGACTGTCTCGCTTCTGAAACTGTACTCCAAAATGTTAACCACTGCCCCCCCCCCCCTCCCTGTACTCACATTTCTCTGCTTGCTGTCATTTTTCTTCCCTATATTATCCACATTTCTTCTTTGCCCTCTTTCTCCATAACGTCTATTTTTTTCCCCTTTCCCCAATACCTGTTTTTTACCTTGTTTCTTATGTGTTAGTTCCTCTGTCTCTTTCTCTCCATCTCTCCCATATATATTTTAGATCCCATCTCTTTCTTCCCTACCCTCCCTCTCTAGATCCCTCCCTCTCCCTCTCCCTCTCCCTCTCCCTCTCTCTCTCTCTCTCTCTCTCTCTCTCTCTCTCTCTCTCTCTCTCTCTCTCTCTCTCTCTCTCTCTCTCTCTCTCTCTCTCTCTCTCTCTCTCTCTCTCCCTCTCTCTCTTTCTCTCTCTCTCCTCCTTCTCACTCTCCTCCTTCATCGTAGCATCTATTTTCTCCCTTCCGCTTGGTTTTCCACCCTTGCTGTTCTCTCCCCTGGGTGGCCACGCCCCTCTTCTCTTCTTTTCCCTTCTTGTGATCAACTTGGCCCTCTCTTCTTGTTTATCTTCGTTTGGTTCCCATTCCTCTCTTTTTTTCCTTCGCTTGCCATTTGTTCCTATATTCTGTTACTGTTTTGGCCTCTTTCTCCACTCCCCTTCCCCTTAGTCCTCCAGTTCCACCAGTACTCTTCAGTCTCCCAGTCCCCCTCAGTCTCCCAGTCCCCTTCAGTCTCCCAGTTCCCTTCAGTCTCCCAGTACTCTTCAGTCTCCCAGTCCCCCTCAGTCTCCCAGTCCCCTTCAGTCTCCCAGTCCTCTTCAGTCTCCCAGTCCTCTTCAGTCTCCCAGTCCCCTTCAGTCTCCCAGTCCCCTTCAGTCTCCCAGTCCCCTTCAGTCTCCCAGTCCTCCTTCAGTCTCCCAGTCCCCTTCAGTCTCCCAATCCCCTTCAGTCTCCCAGTCCCCTTCAGTCTCCCAGTCCCCTTCAGTCTCCCAGTTCCCTTCAGTCTCCCAGTTCCCTTCAGTCTCCCAGTCCCCTTCAGTCTCCCAGTCCCCCTCAGTCTCCCAGTCCCCCTCAGTCTCCCAGTCCCCTTCAGTCTCCCAGTCCCCTTCAGTCTCCCAGTCCCCCTCAGTCTCCCAGTCCCCTTCAGTCTCCCAGTCCCCCTCAGTCTCCCAGTCCCCCTCAGTCTCCCAGTCCCCTTCAGTCTCCCAGTCCCCTTCAGTCTCCCAGTCCCCTTCAGTCTCCCAGTCTCCTTCAGTCTCCCAGTCTCCTTCAATCTCCCAGTCCCCTTCAGTCTCCCAGTCCCCTTCAGTCTCCCAGTCCTCCTTCAGTCTCCCTGTCCCCTTCAGTCTCCCAGTCCTCCTTCAGTCTCCTTCAGTCTCCCTCACTCGACTGTAGTTTTCTTCCCTTATCTCCCTGACCTTTGTAAATCTGTTACCTCTTCCCTTCCTCCCTTCCCTTCTCCTTTCTCTTCTTTCATTTGTCTCCCTTTTCTGCCTTTTTACTCCTTAATCCACCTTTTTCCTTCTATCCTCCATTTTCCTCCATTCCTATCCTCTTTCTCTTAGGGTTTTCCTTTTATTTATTTTTGACCATTTCACTTTCAGCCGTTTCTATCGTCTTGGTCCATTGCCTACTTTCTAATTCTCTTTCTTGCCCCCTTCCTCCTCCCTTCCGAGCCCCTTCATCCCCCCCATCCTCCCCTCAGGAAGGGAACGTCTGGGAGAATATGGTAACAAGATTAACAGCATCTTTGAGGCGGCCCGTCACACCACTGGTAAGGAAAGGGAAGGGAAGGAAAGGGTGTAGGGAAGGGAGAGAAGGGCTGGTAGGGAGGGGAGGAAGGGAAGAATATAGGGGGATAAGGACGAGAGGATTGATTGATGAAGAATAGGTCACAGGCACGGGCATGAATAGCCCTACGTGAGGACGAGATGAGGAGATACAAGCGGGATTTGAAGAGTGAAAAGGGGCGGGGCACATGGTAGGGTTCCACGTACAATGATGAGAAGGGGTGACAGATACAGTGATGGGAGGGTTACGGTTCAATGATGGGAGGGGGTGACAAATACAATGATGGGAGGGTTACGGTATAATGATGGGAGGGTTATAGATACAATATGGAAAAGTGCCAGAAACGATGGGTCGCATTCGTGAGTCGGACAAATTTTCGGATGTATTCGAAAAAATACATATATAAATAAAAATACACATGTCAAATACCAAATATACACTTTTTACAGAACTTTTAACCTGCGTACTAAAAGCTGAGCATATGGTCTTCCTTGTGTGTCATAACTATCTCCGTGACTTTGATCTGTACAACAGTATACTGTAATTTACTGTACTGCTACACTGTAGTACTACACTGCTACACTATTGTACTGTAGTACTACGTAAAAGGCTCTCTCTCACTCACGTCCCTCGAAATCAGTTTCTATAACACGATAGAACGTATCCAAATGAGCGCAGGAATCCAACTAACTATGACTACTTGCAGAAGTCATAGTATTGGTAATAGTAATTGCTTCCATATGACTTGTATTACTTCCTAAGAGGTTGACGAGAGAGAGAGAGAGAGAGAGAGAGAGAGAGAGAGAGAGAGAGAGAGA